TCGGAGTACATATTTGGACCGATACCGGTCTGTATATATATATACGGACCGGGATCGGTCCGTATATGCCCTTAACAACAGCTTTTTATTTTTTTTTGTTATTTCATACTTAACTCGTTCTATTCTCGTTTTAAACGGTAACATTCCGAATGTTTGCAAGCCAAAGTGGTTAACCTAAATAAAAAAAATTAATTTTATTTGCTTGTGGCTCCGAAAGAGCATTACGTAAGATTATCTCTAATAACCTTTAACTTATACGTTCGTGGTTTTGCAACGATATTACTCCAAACCATCGTAAGATAATTTCAGGTAGACAATCGATGGTTTTGTGGTTCCAAGGGACTGTAGGGTTGATGTACATGCAATTGGTTTTCCCAGGAATGGATTTAGGACACGAGAAGATGGTAATGTCCTTAAATGAAAAGAATAAAAATGTGAACTGGGAGAAGTTTCTGGATTTTTTCGAGTATATTCGAACCAAAATCGGTCTGAAAAATGAAAACATGGAAGCTTCTGGATTCTTTGCATATATTCAGACCAAAATTGGTCCGTATATATATTCATACTTAATTTAATTTAGCTTTAGGATAAAAAATCTCTCGGATTGCCCATATTCGAACCGACACCGGTCCGTATATATGGATTGAGGACACGAGGAGATTGTGATGTCCTTAAATGAAAAGAATGAAAATGTGCACTGTGAATTTTTTCCCAATATATTCGGACCAAAATCGGTCCGAATATATTATTAATGCGCCAAAAATTTCTCGAAAAGATTGAAAGTTTTTGATGCGCCGGAAATTTTTTCCCAATATATTCGGACCAAAATCGGTCCGAATATAAGCCTTATCCCTTGTTTTCTAAATACATATACGAACCGAAATCGGTTCGTAATTAATTTATGTGCCAATTTTTTTACCGTAAATTTGAATTTTTTGATTATGCGCTAATTCATTCATATTCAGACCGATTTCGGTCTGAATATTATTAATGCGCCAAAAATTTTCCTGAAAAAATTCAAAGTTTTAGGTGCGGCGCGCCAATAAGGATTATACGGACCGAAAACGGTCCGTATAAGCCTTATATATATCACAACTTCTCTTCCTTTTCCTCATTTTCTCTTCTTCCTCTCTTTCTTTTCCTTTCTTCCTCTCTTTCTTTTCTGTTCTGCCGTCCGTCTCCTTCTTTTTCTTACTTTTTTTTTTCTACTTCCTTTTATTTGTCATTTCCACTCTTCTTTTCTCTGTTCCCTTTTCTTTCTCATTTCCTTCTATTTCCTTTTCTTTCCTCTCTTTTTTCTCTCCCCTTCTTCATCCTTTCTTTCCTTTTTTTTCTGTTTTCTCATATGTATTTTTTAAAATTTTTTGTTGTATTTTTGTATTAGTTTATTTTTATTTTTATGTTTATGTTTCATTAACTAACTTTTGTTTCTTTTTTTTTTTTGTAGGTTAAATTTGATGAACTTTAAAACTTTTCACATATATATGTTTATTCTATTGTATTTTTCAATTTTCTTTTATATTTATATATATTTTGTTTTT